CTCTTCTTGTTCCTCCTCCCCCTTTTCCTCCTCCTCCTCCTCCTCCTCCTCCTCCTCCTCCTCAGCCAGTGTGGACCGAGCGGCCGAAGGCTGGCCTCCACACTCGGGCCTCTGACGTTTTTTCATGGGACATGGCAGTGGGATTCTCGTGTGAGCCGCTTGCCGTGCAGTCTGTTGAACACAGTTCCACGTACACGATCATATGCAATCACATGGGGGGTCAGGAATGGAAGTACAGATGGGCAAGGGACAGGGGATTCACGACCGTCGAAGTGAACGTGTGTAGTGTATAATCCATTATCTCTAAAACACTCCGACTGATTACGTAACATCGTACACGAATTTCGGTACCAAACAATGTTTGCATTACCTGGGACATCGGATGTCGGACGGCCTGATGACCCGGTTGTGACTGTGAAGCGTATTGACACCCACTTTGTGTACAGGTGGCCAGCTTTTCGAGGCAGTTCGTTCCCGCATCAGCCTGCAGGAGTTGCCATAGGCATACGTTGCAAGTTGTTCAAGCAAACTCACGTGCGAAAGGTGTATTGTCCTCATGTGCGGTATCGTGGTCGATTCGGGGCTCTACGCATCAAACGGGGGGATGTGGATTGTTGTGTGATTGTGGTGTACATGCCCACGAACCCACGCACTCAAAAAGATGTCCAAAAGAGCTCAGAGTTTGGGGATTACGTTTTCAAGTTCGTCGCAGCACTCCCCGGTAGGTGTGTTCCTGTGCTTATGATGGATGCGAATGCGCATGTAGTATCGGGGCCAGCTTCAGCAGCCATCGGACAAGCGGAGCCAGCCAGGGAAAATGCGAACGGCAAGCTAATGCGGGAGACTCTGGAAGGGAACCACATGTGGGCTGTAAATACGAGCATCCCAACGGGGCCTACCTTTTACGGGGCGTTTCACACATCACGGGTGGATTACATATGTTTGCCACAGGTTTTCCGACACAAGTACCACATGAGTAGGATCCTTTGGCATACGGCTGCACGGCTACAACTGATTCCAGTTCACGAATCGGGGTATTCGTCACAACATTTTGGTTACAGGGATCACGTACCTGTTCAGGTGACTTTCCGACACGGGCTCACATTTGGGCACGATCTTGAAGGGGAGGTTTCGTTCTTTTGGGATCGCGATGCTCTGGTGCGAGGTGTGCTGTTTGGAGAAGGCAGGAACGAGTTTATTTCTTCTGTTGAGAAGAAGTGTTCAGATGCTCAGTGGCGACCCGACGGACAACATCCGACAATGGTATGGGAATCCTTGGTTCGTGCTGTAATCGAGGCAGGACGGGGCTTGTATCGCAAGAAACCTAGAGCTCAACGTCCACGCCCCACCGACACCCAAGAAGCTAACGACTTGGTGATCACGCGACGGCGCGATCTTGTCACACACATACCCTTGGGAGATCCGGGATTGAGGGATAGAATGCGAGATTATGTGTAT